CTTATTACCTGTGAAACCATAGACCAGCTTATAAGTCGTCAACGCATTAGTGTCCAGGAAATACACTTAATACTTGGCCCCCTTCTTGATCAGGACCCAATCAACCCACGAAGCATCTTTCCACAAAGCCCACCTTGTTCGTGGAGAGAGAGAGGTGCTTCATCCACACACTTGAGGGGAAATTGCCTTAAATAAAATTTTAAAAACTAAAACTAATTTTTTTTTTTAAAGGTATTTCGATTATTGGTTTTAAATTTTTTTAGAGAGATCACTGTTTACCTCAATCTTTGACACAATTGGTTTAAGCTGGTGATTCAAATATCAGTAATTGGTTTAAGCCGGTGATTCAAATATCAGTAATTGGTTTAAGCTGGTGATTCAAATATCAGTCGAGTAATCTCTACTTGCCCGAGTTATTTGGGTTCGGCTCCTTGCCGATCTTGCGTTTGGTGTCCAATCAGGGATATTAAAAAAACTTTAAAAAGTAAAAAATTTATTTGAGAATTATTTTTATTTTTTTATTTATTTTTCATTTTGGTAAAAATTGAAAAGTGTTTTGGCCATAAATAAGTTATAGGGAAAATTTTTTTTGAAAAAAATGAAGTACAGATTTATATTGATTTTATTACAAAAAAAAGATTTTCTTTAAGGATCGAAACTCTTGATTTTTTTGAAAAAAATCGTTTTTAAACGGACTCTAGAGATGCAAATATTGAGGCACATATAATACTTTCCTTTTTCCATTTTACACACGTGGCAATGGCTAGTGCCAACTGACCTCGGGCCGAACAAATTGAGCATGACAAACCCACTGTTCGAATTCTTTAAAACCACACGTGTCGAAGCTCGAGCCTTTCGACACCAAATATCTGGGAAAGCACATTCAAGTCAGTTGAGTCATTTATGATGAACCTATCCCAAAAACTCATCGTTAATTACTATAATAACCCTATTTATGTTATAAATTCCACAATTTATATAGAGCCAATCGAAACAATCAAATTCGAGCCACCTTCAAATAGTATCGAGAAAGGTAGTTTCAATATCGAAAATTTTTATAATAGCCTTAAATTATATTTTTATTTTTAATTATAAAATTTAAAGTATAAAAAATAAAATATATCACGTAAATCTATAAAAATTTGAAAATCTTATTTGACGATCCAAAAAAATATTACAAGATACACTATTTTCGAAACTTGAAATCTATTTTTTTCTCATGTTTATGCATCTTGATGTCGAGATAATTGATTTAAAGATATTTGAACATCAAATTAACATTTTTTAATAAAATTTATGATGTAAGCTCTAATTTGATTGTTTAGAGCGTTAGCTCTATTTAAACTTTTCCTTTCTTTTTTTTTGTTATTTGACTTGGGCACTTCAAAAATTTGTCTGGATCGGTGAATTGACAGTCTAAATCGCCAATTTACTATGCAAAAAAAAGTAAATTGACACAAAAGCATGTGAAAAAATGCTGAACGAGCCAAAAACCGGCCCAAATCACCACTTTACTGTAGAGAATCCTCATTTTACTTTAACGAGTTGTCGGGTCTCAGGTCGGACCAGATAATTCCGTGCAGACCCGCTGTTTTTAAATCACTGCTTTTTTTTTTTATCTGCATGTTCAAACGCCCTCCTCCTCAATAAATCGACCATTTTAACCTTTGTGATTAAGTGGCTAAAGTTGGGTTATGAGAAAAGGGACAAAGCCGACATTTAGTAGCAAATGTGTGCATTGGGTCGACAAAGCCCGCTGAATTTCTGTTTAATTTCTTAAATTTCTCTGTGTATTTTAATATCAAAATTCCAAAAATTGAGGTCATTTTAAACAATATTATGCAATTTTGCATGGAAAATTACCCTCGGGTTAGGCATAAAACCCCTTAACTTATTGAGTTACAGGATAAAGCTTAATCTAGGCTAAATTTGGGGTTAATTGGCCAAATTCAAGATAGTGATGGTTTTATGGTTAAATTTGGGGGAAATTAAAACATTGATATTGAAGAAGACTTCAACTTTTGACCTTAAATAATGCAAATTTTGGGTGGTTTAATTCAGGCTCGTCCTACCAGAGAACAACTATGAGAAGAACTTAAAGGAGATCATTTTTTTTTTCTTTTGATAATCAAAATAGCGGTAAACAAATTACTTCAAACTAGGTTTATAAAATGGAACCGGCTCGAATCGGAACTTGTGGGCCGAATATCTGGTTCTTGTGAACCCAATAATTGCCCAATTTTTTTATCTCTTTTATTTATTTATTTTTAGAAAAAAGAGGTATCTCTATAAAATTATTATCCCATATAACTCTCTAGGACTAAAAAAAATCTATAAAACTCCAAAAAGACATTAAACTCGTATTTACCTTTTCTATTATCTAAACTACTACATTTACCCATCATCTTTTTTCTAACAACTTCATCTTATAAATTGAGTTTGTCATGCCTCTTTTAATTTACTTGTGAGGTTCATGAGATGAGAATGAGAGAGAGAGAGAGAGAGAGAGAGAGAGTAGTTATTTAGGGAAGGTTGATAGGGGAGAGGGAGGAAGAGGTATACGGTGAAGAAGAGAAATAAAGAGAAGAACAACTTTTTTATGATTTAAGTAACATGATGATTAAGAAAAAACAAGAATGATAAATTCTGTATTTCGAACAAAAAGAAAAGGAGGGGTTCAACGTCATTTATTGCTTATCGTGGGGGTTTTATGAGCCTTGGGAGTTATTTGAGATTATAATTTTAGAGAGAAGTATACATATTTTTTCCAATTTTGCTCAGACTCTTAGGAACCATAAAAAAGATATCATCAAACTTGTAAAAATTATCACATTTGTGTTATACAAACCATATTTAGAATAAAATGTAAAATTCTAATAAAGGTTCCATAAAAAATTTCAAAATATTAAATGCTGAGTATTTAGATGAGTTTAGTTTGTAAAATTAGAATTGTGCTTTCTTATAGATGTATAGAGAATACAGCCTTCATGTCTACAAGAAAGGAAAAAACTTATCGAGATTTGATTTAATTATAGCAAAGTATTTTTTTCTTTTACAAATTTTTCTATTTCTTATCCATTATTTTGATTTTTAATAGAGAACTTCTTCATAAAATTAGGAAGGAGCCTATGTAAGGTGTCAAACTTTGTATAGAATTGAGATGCAGCTCAAAACCCATTAGAAAAGGTTATTTGGGTGCTGGAAAATTCTCCAATCGTTCATTTCAACCTCGAGATCTCTAGCTATAAAAAAGTACCTTTCGAGTCTTAAAAATAATGCAGCTTGTAATATATTATTTAATCCATTCATTTTCTTTAAAAATTTCAAGTATTTATATATGTACCTTGTTGGAGCTTTGAACTCCATAATTAGGGTTAGAAACACATTTTAAAGTCAAAATGTCAGCTTTAAGGCCGAAACTATATCTTCTCTCAAATTCTAAAGGGAGTGTCTTACTTTGATTGTCTAAAGTGGAGACCTTATGTGAATTGCAACCTAAGAAATATGTATTGGAAATGTGAATATGTTATTAACGAGACCTGAAGTTTAATCTTTTTTTCAAACTGTGTAACACAACTCGCCATCTAATTTGACATCTAATGGTTAATGATAATTGTGACATCTTTATAACAAAACGTAAATGATCTTGTAGTATACAATCCCATAAACATTTGACAAACATCTGAATAATAGTATGGGCATGTATACTATGCTCCTTTAGCAGCATAATTTACTTCGACTCTGTCAGTCTGAAGACCTATTTGGAAGAATTTTTTTAATCTAAAATTTTGGGAACCACTTAAAAATTACTAATTAATTATTCTAAAAAAAATTGAAATTAGAGTTTTCTAACTCTTTGATTTCACCATCCAAAAATTGGATAGTCTTTATCCAATTTCGAGTCATTATTTTTTTCATGTGCATATAATGTACAATTAGATTTTTTATTATTGAAAGTTAATATATGGGTTAAAGAGGTTATTTCCCTAAAATACGAGGTCCTAAAATTAATTCTAAGTTGGGTTTTACCTGAGGAAGTAAACGGAAATTCTATTCCTCGAGGAGTAGCATGTATTTTGGCATATATTAAACACATGGACGCGGTTTTTATGCGGCCAAGCCCACATATATAGAAATACGAACCTTTTAATAAAGGAAAAATTTTATATAAGGTTGCAACCTTAAAATGTAGAATTACATATGCATCTCAAAAATCTATCGGAAAGGCTGTTTTAATGTTGAAAAACCCTCTATTTAATCATCTCAACATCGAAATATATGAATATAAAAAAATAAGTTTTTGAGTTTGATAAATAGTGCATCTTGCAACACATTATGTAGGCCGTCCATTTCAAGATTTTCATATGTTTATAGATCTCCTTGATTTTAACTATTTTTGGATTTTAAAATTTTTTATTTAGATATGAAAATAGATTTTAAGATAATCCTAAGAATGTTTTACAACAAAATTACATGTTATGATAAAATTTGGAGGTGCGTCTTAATTGGATTTGTATAAGGTTGCAACCTTATAGAAACAACACCTTTTAATAAATCTATTTTTGAGATGGATTTTAAAATTTAATTTTTAAGGACATGTAATCTTTAACATAGAGATCAAGAATATGGAAAAATAAATAAATTTTAAAAATAAAAATAATAATTCTAGCGAGAAAATATTTGGACCGTTAGTTTCTATTGTTTTTAGATGGAACACCTACTTGTATCCATCTTTAAGATGGATGCTTTGCACTTTCTAGACCGCATATATGGTGCGGTCCAGGACGCATACCATTTTCCTAAACACATCCCCGAAAATTAACACAACCGCATATGTAGAAATGCGGTCCAGTCCGCATGAATCAATTTTCCTAGACAAATCCCCGGAAATTAACACAAGGCAGGGTGGTTTGGTCTTTGTATTAAAAGAAATGGTAGTTTAGTAATTTCTGATATTTATGGGCGCCAATTCATCTGTTTCAGTGGTGTTGGTCCAGTTTATCCTTTCTTTGTCGACCATAAAAACACAGAGCTGAAAATAGAACACATAAATCAAGAATATATTATAAAATATCATAAAATAATTGATTTTCCATTTGTTTTTCTTCCCGAAATCAAGGAAGAAGCTTCTAAAAGGGATTTTTTGAGCTTCTTCTGCTTCAAAAATGGTGGCAATTCCGAACAGCTCCTTTGCTTCTTTACTTCTTCCAGGTACCAATCCTTGAGCCATCAATTTTTACCTATATTTGTTCCAAATTGAATCTAAATTCATGGAGTGGTTGTTTAGTTGTTGAGGAAATGCTTAAATAAAACTGGAACTGAAGATTTTGCTGATAATTCTGATCTGAATTAAGCAAAATTCATGCTGCATTTTATTGCTTTATTTTTTCTCCTAGTTAGTATAATTTTTGTTACTTATGAACCATTTATCCTTTACTTTTAGGATGAGTGTGATTTTCTCTGCGTTTGCTTTCTAAAAGAAGAAAATGTCGGCTTATTTGCTGGTTATGCATGGAGAATTGTTTCAAGTATTATTATCCATTCTTTAGAAGCGTTATCTTAGAGTTTTAACGGTGTCAAGATTTGTTTTTATATTTAATCAGAGTTCTAAAGTTGGAGAAGTTTTACTCTTTTACTTTTTGAGCTCTAAATGTTTTCCCGCTTTAGTTTCTTTTCTTCTATTTTTCTTCATGGTATGCATTTCTATAGAGATAACACATGTTTAAAGGAGAAAAGGTTGTTGATTTTTTCTCTTAGAAAATTTCAGGCCTATCTTTCTACTTGTTATATATGGCTACTTAGTCCGGTTATTTCCTTTTTTTAATTATAATTTTTGGTTTATAACTTTATATTAGGTGGTGATAAAGGTTCCATGACTTACTCGAATCCACTCGGACTCGGGAGAGTTATTGGGGTGAGTTTGAGTATCCCCGAGTTGTATATACAACTCAGGGTACATAAAAAAAAAAAAGGAAAAAAAGAAAAAGTGGTTTTAAAATATTGGACTGGTGTATAATTTTTTTATACGACTTGGATATTTTTGGAAATGATTGGTGAGTGTTTTTGGCCATAATCCCTATTTTTATATTTTCCTTTTTTTGGATTTTTCTTAGCCCCCTCATCTATAAATCTGTTTTTGTAGATACAGTTCTCCTATACTTTTTTAAGCTTACTTGGACTTTGTAAGGTTAATTTTAGTTTTATTTTACTTTTCCTATCTTCATTTAATCCTTCATATTTTTATTTTTTTTTCATTTCTTCTTGGGATTTTTTCACTTTGTACAGGACTCCGGCAAGTCCAATCGGACTTGCCAGATTTACTCGGTTCAGCCAACTGCTGAGTTGGCAGAGACGAGTTTCTGAACAAGGTGATGATACATGGCGACCTTTCCAATTCAATGTTAGTTTTAATGTAATTTTTTTTTTCAAATGTTATCCACAACCATGCTTAAGGCACACACATCTAGACCTGCAACATGGGTCTAGTTTCAGCCCCAAGGCCTTTCCATTAGGGAGGGAAGTGTCGAGCCGTCTGATTCATGGAAAATTATCTTATTTGTCAGCTGGTAAATTTTAAATTACAGGAATTAAATAAGCATGTAAGAAGGAGTTTAATCAGAATCATACTTAGCTAAAATTAGAAGGTTCTAAAAGATTCGTAGGATAATTGAGGTGAGGTTTATTTTGTAGTGAATGCTATAATAACTCTTGCATTCATGAACATTACATGGCATATGGTTTCAACTTCTTTAAGGCGCTTGGAATCACTAGATTTCACAGTTCACTTGATGTGGTAACTCTTAGAAAAATCTTCTTTTATTAAGTTCGGAAAGGACAGCAATGTGTGAAGGGAACATTACGTCATTAGTGATGGTACCCATGCTTGATTTCAATTATCCTGAGATCCAAATAAGACCCAAATCTAATGTTCATTTTGTGAAGGTCTTGAGCGAATGAGATTAACTTTATTTTTCATTTTCTGGTTTAATTTAGGTTTCATGGTGCTATTGTAAGCTGAGGTCTCTGTTCTCATCTAGTCCAGAGTTTAGTTATGTATTGGCAAATGCATTCACAATGAAAACTTGAATTTGGTCTGTATTTGGATAAATTGCCCCCTCATTTTCTATCCTATTTCCATATAATTAAATGTTGTCTTTAAAAAAATTTAATTATGGATACTTCAGCTAAGTGCATATTTGTCAATTAGTGTTTCATTGCAAGACGGATAGATAGATAAACAAAGAGAGGGAGGGATACAGACGTGGACCACCTTTTATATGCATTTATATATATCTGTTTAGAGACCGACATTATGTTCTGTGAACTAGAATGTATCATATTTCTATACTTCACATGGGAAGGTTGGGGGATGCGATCACATTGTGTAGGGGCCTATTATATCTTGTCGTCATAATAAATGTGTGTGGGTAACTTTGTTAATTATGTACAATTCTACACAGTTCTTGGTTTAATTAAAGCACTTGAACAATGGAACTTTTTCTGGTTCAAGCTTTTTGCATTCACTTAATCGCTAAAATGGCCCTAAGAAGCACATGGCACCAGCACATCTCGAGCTCCTTTAAAATGGAAAAACTCCAGGCCGTGTAAATGTGCAAACTGACCTACGAAGTACAAGCTCGGGCATTTATTTTCAACAGCTTTATTTTTTATTATTTCTCGATGTTTCCAATATATTGATTATTGAGTTCTATTTTTGGATTGACTAATGTACATTGGAATTCCGCATGTGCTGTTTGAGATGCTCATTCTTAGTGAGTATTGCGCAAATGATGCATTTATAGAAATATATCTGTTTTCTCAGTGTTCAAAATATTGATTCCAACTGTGATAAGTTGCAACTGTATGTTTCAAAATAACCTTACTAGTATCAACATCTCACAAGTTTATTGAGGTTTATAGTCATATGATATGCATGTGCAGAAAACTTCTATTTAAGAAGCCCCCTGTTGTTTGGTAGGCAGTGTGAACCTTGGAATAGCTGCCAGTTCATTTTGAATTTTTCCGTAATAAGTAACTGTTCTCTATTTATTTAATTTTGAGATTGGATAATTTGTTATAGTTTTGTGGTTCACTTCTTTTGTGGAAGTCTTTTGTTTGTGAGACGTACTATTTTACTCTTGCGATGGCATGCTTTTTTTTTCTAGATTGTCTGCAATTAAAGAGTACTCTGTGATTCATTCAATGAGGTTATTATTTGCAGTTCTTCTCATTGTCTTTACAATGATTATAGGCTACAATAATGTGTAAATTGCTAGTGCCGGATCAATCCGGTCTCTTTTGGGCATCTATAGTTGTACATGTATTTATGGACTCTGACTTATACTTGTATGTTCAACATTTTTTGTTACACATAGGTATCCTTTCCCCTTTTAGCTTATGCTGAGTCACTATAAATCCTCACTGAGAATCAAATAACATGGTTCATATGTGCATATGATGTAGACAATGCTATCTTCCTTAAATTCTTGGGGGAAGTAAAAAGATAGTGCCTGATGTGCAGATGTTCTGGAAATAAAAAATTGAAAACAGTGCCTGGACTGGTCAATTATTTTTCTAATGATTGTTACCATGATCTATGCTACATATTTTACTAAAATCTCCACTTCCCCACCCATTTTAACACCAAAGAGCAATACAATCATTTTTAAAAAAACGAACTACTGCTCCAGGCACTATGTTGGGTTTCCCAATTTCTTCAACACGTACTCTATTTATACAGGTTTTCCAAGCACTTCTTTGATAATCTCCATTAATTTTTAGTTTACGATTGTTTTTTTGAGATATAAACTTCCTGAATTTTTAGTTTCTCAATTATTTGATGTCTGAATGCTTTGGTTGTGCATGTAAAAGCACTTTAATGCTGTCGTCCAGGCATAAGATTTCTCCAAACATAAACAGCCACTTCTTTCAATGTTCAAAATGGAAATAGCCTGTTGTTAGTAACCATTTAGTATAAGAATGAGGTTTTTCCTACTCTGACATTGGTCTGATGCACTCTACAGGAAAACATTGTCAGAGAAAACCTGCTGTATCAATGGATGCTGGAGAGAATCTATCTGCTGGTGGGGAAAGACTTATATATTGCAGAAATCACAACAAAAACTTAGATATTTTAGGAAGAAATGTTTCATATCTCTCCATGCACTCTGATAGAGACCTAAGGCTTAAAACTGCATTCTTTGGACAGATGGGGCCTCTGAACTTAAATTCTTTAGTAGTTAGTGGTGGTGCAAGTATGAAGCTTACTGAATATGGAAAAAGATTACTAAGAGGTTATGTTTGTTTTCTTTCATCCGATCAATCTAGTTACTACTGGGTTCAGTCGAAGAAACTTGGCAAGCTTGGTATGTGCTACAATGGGCAGTTCCAACAATCTGAATTTCGTCAGAAAACCATGATGCGAGCAGACTTCAAGTCAGAACAATATGACATAACAGGGTTAAATTTGGACTCCCTTAAGCCTCCAGATTCCCCTAATGAAGGTATTGCTCTCAATGAATACATACAGAAGATGACTTACTGGTGGGAGCAATTTCCAAAGCGCTGGATGATAGTATTACTTTGTTTCTCAGCATTTCTTCTCTGCAATATGGATCGCGTAGGCTTACTCTCCTGTTTCTTGCTTATATCTCTCCTATTCAACTTAAATATCTGTGGTTTCCCGTCCAATATTATCTTTTGATATAGGGAAAATATGCCATAATCCAATGGACTATAGAAAATATGTTGTCAACTGGTCATAGCTGTCCACCAAAATGGTGATTTGGTGATGGAGAGAGTGGGTCCTACAGGGCATGACCCGTCGCTTTTCATCATTGTCCATCATTTTAAATGGTGCTGAAGACCTAATAATCCATGTTGGTCTCTTGGAGTATAGTATACTTTTTCCCTTGATAACATACCCTTTTATTGTTCCCATAGAATTTATGTGGGCTGTTCAAGGCCTGAATTTGATTGAAATGACTTTTTTTTGTAAATCAAGTTCCTGCACTGCTCATGCTGCAGAGTAGCATTCCTTGTCCTCAAGAGTTCTTGAATAATTCCAATCATTGTCAATTCCTTGAAAACTTCTCGTGACAGTGATCACATATTTTTAGCAGAATTATGAAGTTTTCTTATAGTTATCGAAATTTTCTAAAATCAATAATCAGGTCTCCAAAGAATCTCATTCTCAAATATACATTATGAGTTTCTCTTAGTCATGTTTTAAATGTTTAATGTAGCAAATATGATTGATATAAGTTCGGATAAAGATAGCGTTACATGTTTTTGTTGGGTTTCCTTTATTTTGATCAGGTAATAAGACACACATAATTGGTTTCCTAATTGAACTGGTACAATTAAGAGTGCTTCCTCTGAAAATTCAAAAGTTTCAATTTGACCAATCTAATGTTGAGTGTGTTCAACATCAAGTTTAGCCCATCTCCAAGAGTTATGAGTAGTTTTTAATATCTCCTTTCACCATGATTCATTGAAATGTTTTGATATAGAAGTGTACTTTCTGAGAGCATTATTACCCTGCATTGATTGCACTTGTCCATTGGTGTCTAGCAAGGACCTACATGCAGAAATGTGTTAGTGCACCAAGACATTCGTTATTTCTTTGCGTGCACATGCTCACATGCATGAGGATGCACTCACATGTGTCTACACAACATATTCTTAATTTTACCCATGATTACTTTCTTACAAAATTTACGTTTACTCCTATGTTTGAATCATCATTTACTGTTTTATAATGCAACACCTCTTACATTGATGAATCTCATTTCCTAACTCTGGTTACTATCTACAGCCCTTGGTTACAACCATAGAAAGCCATCTGTGTTAATGATTTGTAATGATACTTTTTTTATTTCTTTGAAGAAAATAATTGCTATTGGCATCTAGTCGTGAGTATGACTAACTTGTAACAAATATTTGTATTGCAGGTGAACATGAGTATTGCTATACTCCCCATGTCTAAAGAGTTCAATTGGAACCCTGCTACTGCTGGTTTGATACAATCTTCTTTCTTTTGGGGTTACTTGCTCACCCAGGTTTGCTAGGTGCTCCTACTATGATATTTTGTTTCATGGATCCCATTCCTGCATCACTAGTGGCTTATTTTGTGCCCTTGGTTCTCTTTCTTAAGTTTTAACCCAAGACTTAAGTTATGCATTGGAAATAAGTTTTTCCTTAATCTTAAAATGGGTCCAAAGTTGAAACCCTGGTATATTTAGGGCCATCATGTTATGGATAATATGTGGTGATAAAACTTGTCTTTTGGAAATCCTCGCACTTAAGAAAGAAGAAAACTGTGCTCCAAGGATATTTCAGGAATAAAAAAGATAAAGAATATAAAAGACATTCTATACACTTCTTGATATTCATGATGAAGGCAAAGGATTGAGTGCGAGGCATGGTACACTGTTCTGTAAGCCTTGGTGAGTAAATCATCCATCTTTAGTGTTGTAGATATATGAGGCCCATTTAGTGGCTTTTCCCTATTGAAGTACTTTTTACTTTATTATCTTTGTTATACTAAAAAATATAGATGGCTATAATACAAATTGTGATTGTAATATTCCTGTAGACATGTGTGGATGAGTCATATGAATAGGGAACTGATGTAGTTGTTGAATTGAAACCAACACACTTGTACTAGACACCATTTTTCGATGCTCTGCTTTAACGCTTCACTTAGAGGAATCGGATTGCTTCGTACTTCTCCCATAAATAATAGATCTCTCTGAATATGTACACACCATTGCTAGATAGTATGTCATTAAGATGCCCAACATAGTATACATCTATACATGCAAAAAGTACGTAATAAGAGACTGTAGCTAGCAGTTACATGGCAACTGGTGGTCTTGGCACAGTGCAAAATATCTTAAAAACAACAATATGTGCACTTAAAGAAGTGGCTATGAGTTGAAGAGGAGTATAAACTATATGATTTATATGAAAGAAGGACTCGTGTGATCTAGCTGGAGTATAAAATCTTTCTTTTCAATACTTTTTCTTTTCTTCATGGTCTAGATCACTCACAAGTAGTCCTTTTACAATATAATAACTTCAAATAAAAAAAAAAAAAAATTCAATAGGATCTCAAGAACTTGAAACCATTCAAAACCACATTTTTCATTAACAAAGAAAAGACACAACCTATGCTTGGGAATGAAGAAAGCAAATAAAAAAAATAAGTAAGAAACAAAAGTGGGTGCTGGAGATTACCTCAATTGGGCTTCTTACACTCCACACCGAGTCACCACTTTTCAATGGCGCAGGATCTAATGCTCAACCTTGAATCTCAACCGGGAAGCAAGTTTGGAAGGGCTACACCAAAGGAACATGAACCCCTTAATCACAAATCTTAAACCCTTAGATGAATCCCCTTAGCAACCTAGTATGAGAGAGATATGCTTCTCTTTTCTACCACAACCCTATAGTCTAAACCCCAAAGAGAGATGAGAGATCATGAGAGACACTATAAGAGAGAAGCCATGAGATGAGAGAGAAGACTTTTTATGAGTAGGGTGTGCTCCGGTCAAGAGGGAGAGAGAAAACTCAAGAGATGGGACGTGCCCCTTCCTTTTTCTATAGGAGAGAGAAGAGTGAGATTTTAGGTACAAGAGATATGGTGCAGAGATTTGGGTAGGAATCAATCCCTTTTTATAGTGCTTCATAAGATTAGGGTTTCTACGGGTTTTCCTTGTCTTGCCACTCATGTGAGAATGAATATGCATCATTGATCTTGGGTGGCTTGTGGGGTAAGAGATATGAGCTCTCCATTCCATAGATGGGCCATCAACATCCTATGGAAGTTGCTAGACCATTATCCTCTACTTCCTAAACCATTTTCCCATCAATTAATTCAAATAAGGAATTAATATATCATAATATTATCCTTTCTTATTTTATGCACAAGCCTTCTCATACATAACAAAATATCATTCAAAATTTTCTCAAGGCTCAAGCTTACTTAAAACAACACAAACTTATCTCTCAAGCTTTAGAGCTTGATCTCCATAAAAAAAGAAGGTTTCTCTTGGTGGGACGTGCCATCCATGGTGGCACATAATGGGCCCCACCCAATATGCAATGGTGGGCCCAAAAGACCCATTGGGCCTCCCATGCAATTATGTTATATTTTTATATTTTAAAAAATACAAAAAATTATTATTTGAATAATTAAATCATTATAAAATCAATATCTTTGTTTTTATAAATCCAAATTTGATAAATAAAATATTAAGAGATTTAAAAAAATTCAAATAACAATTCTAAAAATCATATATTATTAAAATAAATAAAATTAAATACTTTGATGGAAAATGATCCATATGGTCTAGGAATAAATATCCACTGGGGCACTCCATGTCCAACCGCAAACTACGAACCACACATGCTTTTTCAAACCGACCCAGCGTTGCTCATGACCCACAGTCCATGCAGGAGATCATTAGTGGGTCACCAAAGTCTAGCCAATGGGCAAGGGGTCGTAGTCCCCGTATATGGATTTCAGGTCCCCCCTGGAGACGAAACCAAGATCATTCTGACTTGATGCAATCCATAGCTCGATGGTTCACAAGGGGTATCTCTCGTGCATGCACACGCTTCACCTTGAAAGATGGTACGATTTCCTGAAATGGCAATTGATGTGCGTGCTATGTGATGGTACAAATGATGAGGCTTTGGCCCGGTATCTGAAGGCCTCCATCACACACAAGGATCACTCAGTCCCTAAGCTCACTCATCCAGGCATACTCTGATCTCATCAAGGGATAACCTATATAACCATCATTAGTTTGTTTTTCTAAGCCCAGGTAACATGGGTTTTCCTTAACCAGACCGACCTAGCACGTCAAGTACAGTCCAGTACCAGCAAACATCGTTTGCTTAGTATGGTCCATAAGGGACCACACTCCCATTGAGTTCATGTTCCACTATATATTTCCATTTTACAAACACTCATAAGGCCTTTAATGGCCACACACACCCAACATTATATAGGTAATGTGGTCAAAATAGAGTTAGCTAATAGGTAGGCCATCATCTTTGCAAGCTAATATAGGTCACTCGTCCCCCAAAAAAAAGAGAAAGAATTAGGTGAGAGTAGTGATTTGGTGCATGTAGTTGTTGCAAGTGCAAACCAACTTGAAACCTTGAACTTGATGTTCATATGATGAGAATTCAAAGGATCAATTTTGATCCTCTACTTCCACCTGTTTTTTTATTGACCTATTGAGTTCGTAAATAATCTTATTCTTTGACATTTATTCCCAAAATTTTAGATGGATTTGTTATTGAATTATATCAAAGCATCGCAATTTGTTTCATTATGTGATTTGGAGGTATACTTTTTTATTTTGTGGTTTAGTGCTACAATTTGTTTTATCAATATCATATGTTGCTTTTCCTTTCTAATACTTCTTTCCAACGTGTAGATTCTTGGGGGGATATGGGCTGACAAGCTTGGCGGAAAACTCGTATTGGGTTTTGGGGTAGTTTGGTGGTCAATTGCAACTGTGCTCACACCTATTGCTGCAAGGATCGGACTGCCTTTCTTGCTTATAATGAGAGCTTTCATGGGAATTGGTGAGGTTGGTCTCTTCCTAGATCAGTTATGTAACACGTTGATATATTGAACATAGCTTACTGGTTCTTATGAGCGTTTTGGCATCAACCTTTCCTCTTAAGTTATTTGAACTTATGAGCTTGAATTTGGGAACTTTTGGCCTCAGGGAGTTGCAATGCCTGCCATGAATAATATACTCTCTAAGTGGATTCCAGTTTCAGAGAGGAGCAGATCTCTTGCACTTGTATACAGTGGGATGTACCTTGGTTCAGTGACAGGATTCGCCTTTTCGCCCATGTTAATCCACAAATTTGGCTGGCCATCTGTCTTTTACTCCTTTGGTTCCCTTGGGATTATCTGGTTGGCGATTTGGTTAAATAAAGTAAGTCTGTGTGCAATTAATCAAACTCTTCAGTTGGTATTCGTCTCTCTGTTGTATATTTGTCTCTGGTAATTCAATTTTGACTGTTGGCACTCCTAAACCGTTTTAAAGAATTTTGCATGCTGCATTTTGTATGGTTGCATTGTAGAACCCGGATAACGAACCAGTTGAAAATTGATGACTCAAATGCCTGCTTCATTCTTTCATATTGTGGTATATTGAGTTTGATGATTGACTGCCAAGTTTAAGAATCTTCCTACATTTATGTATATGTGTATTTTCAGCAGTATTTTTTATCATTGATTATTATTTTACATCTTATGATTCTATGTTGTTAGAATGGACCTGCTGTTTCATGTACCTCAGTTATCATCTGATTTATTGTTACATTGTCTCCCTAGGCACACAGTTCTCCACAAGAAGATCCTGAGCTTAGGATTGAAGAGAAAGAGCTAATCCTTGGAGGTAGTATTGTGAAGGATCCTGTTACAGCCATACCATGGAAATTAATCTTATCAAAAGCACCGGTTTGGGCTTTAATCATCTCCCACTTTTGCCATAACTGGGGAACTTTCATTCTGCTAACATGGATGCCTACATACTACAACCAGGTAGGTCATACTTAATATAACAGAGTGCCACGTGTTACTGTCTCTTGTGTCATTTAACATCTAAAAGGTATTTGCTACTACTGGAATACAGTGGCGTGTGCTCACTTGCATAAAGATTCTAGTATATTGGATTTTTTGTTTTTGGTATGTGTAACTGATCTTGTGGCTCTTATTGCTTATGCTGAGTGCTGACTATGAATTTAAAAAGTGCTCTTGAAACTTGAAATTCAATGGACACTTGAACAGTTTGATACATCAATGATGAAAGAAAATTTATTGATTTGTGAACACAACTTGATGATCTTTGCATCATATTTTATGAGTTAAATTTCTGAATTCCTGTAGAATCACAAGTCTACACTTCTGCTCTTGTAGAATTGCCGATATGAATTTGTGCATAAAATTTTGCATTGTTATTTATCATTGCCTGTCTTTGGCTCCTCTTCTTCCAAAGACTGACCCCTCCATCCCAGCAAAGTGTGATTGACTGCCTTTTCCATTTGAATGGTCCAATTCTCTCTTACTTATTGAACCTTAGATATGTTAGTAAAAGAGGGTAGTGAAGTATTTTGGCTTGCTAGCTGTTATCAAGATGCAATAAAAGTTTACTGAGCATTTATTTTCTTTTACACTACCTATATCAATTCTTGCTTCTACACAACTATGGAAAAATTTTCAGTATAGTATCATAATGCTGTCAACTATTGAAAATAATGAACATTTATTATGTAACATTTATTGTATTTTTCTTTTTTCTTTAGGTGTTGAAGTTTAACCTCACTGAGTCTGGTCTATTTTGCGTCTTACCATGGTTAACCATGGCAGTGTTTGCAAACATAGGAGGGTGGATTGCAGACACACTTGTGAGCAAAGGTCTATCCATAACTACGGTTCGCAAGGTAATTATTTCCCTTATTACTTCATCCATGAATCCTCATGAAGGCTTGTGAGTTTTTATTGAGAAACTCAATTGGTGTAGTCTCCAATTTATTGCTGTTATGTTCTGATATGAATCCATCTTAGTTTTTTCCGAGATAGGGCTAACGTTTAGTGCTTTCTGATGCTCCAGATTATGCAATCAATTGGGTTTCTCGGTCCAGCATTCTTTCTCACACAACTGAGCCATGTCCATACTCCTGCAATGGCTGTACTGTGCATGGCATGCAGTCAGGTTTGTAAATATATTTTTTGTCTGTACTTGATTGATATATTTGTGAATTGGTCATTGATCTTGGATAGTGAGCATTACATTGTATAAGTTCACAATTCTTGTGTCTGGAAGTTAGGAAATCAATTGTTACTGTAAACCAGGGCCTCTTCCCCCATGCACAGATGCATAAAGAGGCACCTTGACTTGTTTCTCTTAAATTCAAAAACCCCGATTCTTTGCTTGTTTGATTTTCTTGTTGATTATGTTGTAAGTAAACAGTTAAAAAGAAAAAAGAAAAAAGAAGAGGTAACTGTGATGAAAAGAAATATTTGTTTTTAATTGGAGCCAAAAACTTGGCACATAATGTAAGAAAATTGATATATAATTGTATCAATAAAGATTCCTGCTATTCATTATCATTGCTATTCATTTTCATTTTCATTTTCTGTGCTGCTTTTAATGTCAACATACCACTTCAATTAAGCGCAGGAATGAGCAGATTTTATTTCTTCTTCTTTTTGGTCATGGGAGAATATATTACGGCTCATATAATTTGGGGAGTAGTATAGCCATAATGGTCACATTATTGAGTAATGGTTGGAGAGTGGATCCCTCTAGACATGCCAGTAATTCAGCACATACTACTCTCTCACGATCACCATCTGACCATTGATAGACTGTGATAACCCTCTGGCACTTTCAATGATGTTTGTGTCATAGATATGAACCCTTTGATTCCTTATGGCCAAAAGAGAGGATCTTCTTGGAATGTAATATTTGATGATGGCATCTTTATTACCTAATTTGCTTAATTATAGATCCTTTATATGAGTTGCATCTTTCTGTAGTATGAATATTATAACATTCTTGTCTTGGAGCTCAAGATTTTGATGATCATAAACATGCTTCTTTTCATTTCTTGCGAGTGATACATGCTCATTCACCTACATGGTTTCTCAACAGGGGTCTGATGCATTCTCACAATCTGGCCTCTATTCTAATCATCAGGATATTGGTCCCCGTTACGCTGTGAGTAAAACCAGAAATGCCACAAATTTTATACACAGTTCTGTTTCATTAGATATCCCGAAAAAGAGCCTGTTTGGCTCTAATGAAATTCTGCATGGATGCTGCCTCTTTGTGTATCTTTCCATAACCAAAATGCTGTGTAAACAGGACATGATAGTGACTCTTACACCCCCAGTTTTGTTCCCATATCGCCATTAAACCAAGTGAACATTTTCTAGCGTTTCACTTGCCATAATTGTACATCCTTTATGCATGACATCCTTTGGACATTAGGGCAGTTTAACCATCAAAACAAGAAAATTTTGTCAGTCTATTAGAATGCTTGAAAATAATGGTGTTTGGAGAATGCCTGCACCTAAATATCAGGGGACTCTGACGCCTGTATTTGACATTTAGGTGCACATCAAGAACATACATAAACCTATCAAATTTTTTGCAGGGTGTACTATTGGGCCTATCAAACACTGCAGGAGTGCTTGCTGGTGTCCTTGGGACTGCGGCGACTGGCTATATACTCCAACGTGGTTTGTCAATAGCCCTACTAAGCTTTTTTGAATCATGAATCAGGACTTATCATTGGTTTCTATTCTTTTCAATGTTTTGCAGTGTTGGGCTTATAATTAGTTTCCCTTAAAGTTATCCGGTGTTTTTATTTTTAACGATATTCACTCAATAAAAAACTTGCAGGCTCGTGGGATGATGTTTTCAAGGTTGCAGTGGCATTGTATGTAGTGGGTACTTTTGTTTGGAATTTTTTCTCTACAGGTGAGAAGATTCTCGACTAACGAGATCTACAAAGGAGTGAGAAAATGGTGCCTAATATATAGAAGAAAGGTGAAGCATGGAAGGTAAATTTCCCTGAGATGGATATATGGCATGGCTCAGTTGTATCAATCAAGAAAATTTCAATGGCTTACTAGATACAAGCACACAAGCCGTATCGGTTCCACTAAATTATTGAGTGGTTCCATGGTATATATGGGGGGCTATGAGATGCCATTTTTGCAGCTCCTTCATGTACACCACAGTTTACTTGGAATCATGGTGGTGGGACTAGAGGTCCTTGGCCCTATTATTCTTCATTCCATCATTATTTATTTTAGAAAATCATGAAAAGTTTATTTGTTGAAAAGAGAATGATAGTCAACAAACTAAACTTTCAGGAAAAGTTATTTATTTTAGAAAATCATGAAAAGTTTATTTGTTAAAAAGAGAATGATAGTCGATAAACTAAACTTTCATGAAAGGTAACTTCTATTTTTCTGAAATCGGATGGAATTTTCCCATCATGGGATTGTTATACACGTCGAGATCCTGTTTCGGACCAAGCACATCACAGTGGATTGCCAATTTATTTGGGGGCGAGTTACTTCTTGAGTGATATATACTCTGTTTCGAATTTGTTCATCTTAGGCAAGTTGGGCATGCATCTTTTAAGCATAGAATTTGCCTCAGTCTCTTACATGCTCGCTGCGCATCTCCTTTAGCCATGGTGCTTATGTTGTTTTCCTGCTATAACAATTTCTTCTTTACTTTAAGTTAATTAATTTCATTACTGATAAAAAAACTAGAAATTGGTTAAAGTTTAATTATGAAAAATTTGGAATATTCTACATTATAAGCAAATTTGGACTAGTTATGATTAATTTTGAGCTAAAAGTTCTGTGCATTTTTAGCTGTCTTTTTATGGAAATTGAAACATTTTTAATTTTTATTTTCTTTTGAGAGGTGAGCACGGATTTGAATAACCTCTCTAGAATTAGATTCTTAACTACTTTTCTCGCTTTTTATGTCGCTTCCATAGGATTTGGGACAACCATTCCAACAAAGAATAGACCATGCCGACTAACTCAAAATAACCCCACCCCACCCAAAAAAAAAAAACAAAAAGAATAAAAAAGAAAAAGAAAGAATCTGTTTGAGGAACAAAACCCCTGCTTATAAATTGGGGGAAAGAGTAGGGACAGCTGTTTTTTTGGTTTTTTGAGAGAGAGAGAGAGAGAGAGTTAATCTGAGTCATAGAGATATTGAGGATCCTTCAATTCACTTTGTGGTGGTGACCTGGAGAGACTCTTTCTCATGATTCACGTTTCCCTATTTGACGCTCTTTGGCTTGTTTGGAATACTGTTAGAAAATGCGATTGGAGTAATCCCTCTTAGCCTGAGCCGATTGCTCCGCCCGAGTCTTTGAAGCTCGGTCTGATTAGTGCCCAGTACTGCAACAAAAAAAAGTAAAAAGTTATAAAAAAAATTCAAGATAACATGAAATATATGTTTAAAGTAAGATTAAGCAAAACGCTCCCAAATGATGTTAAAAGAGTACAAAAAAATAGATTTTAAAAAATCAAAAGGGCATTTTTGAAATAATCTAAAAAAGAGGGGAGAATGCAAAAAATATGTATTTATAGCCAAAACACTATTAAATATTCCAAAAATGATTTATTTTTTAGAATTTTTTTTTATATCCCTGAGTTAGACAACTCGGGACAACTCCCTTTGCCGAGCCCGAACCTAGGTAACTCGGCCACGTAGAAACTAGTTAGGCGGATTTTTCATCACTGGTTAGGAGTTAGGAAAGAGTAGATGGACGAACTTATGCCCTAATAACTTTCTTTCAGTTCAAGCAAATGCCTGATTTCGATTGGATTTGTTAGGAAAGAGTAGATGAAAGGATCCCAACCTATGACATGTTTGTTTTCACCTCGATTTTTTTGAATTAATTTTTTTCTTTGATTAATTTGGTCCGTAAGATAAGATTGCCTCTCCTTTTGCACAAGGTGTCTTAAGTTGGTCTTCTAATTTCATCTGGAGTTTTTCATTCGAATAGCTGATATCTTCTCATCTAGCACACGGAACTTCTCTCTCTATATATATAAAAGCAATGATCCAATGTAACGGTTGTATTATAGTATAATAAACGACACTTCTAAAAAACCATGTTTGTGCTTTTTGTATGACTCAAAATTTTGCACACAAACTGTTTTTATCTCAATAATCAATTAAAAAAAAAAAAAAATTTCAATTTGAACTCTAAATATGATCAAAATGAGTCCCTTCCAAAAACGAATCTAGGCTATTCATTTTGTGAATTTCGAGATCTTAGCTTTTATAAACTCAAAATCATTTTTTTTTTTTTAACATTATTCATCTAATGATAATAAAGTCATCCAAAAAAAATTGGAAATGAACAAATCCTTCAAAGACTTAGATCTAATCATCTCACCAAAATGGATGG